CTTTTTCAGAATATGGACCACAGTGCTCCAGGATGATGGAGGACTAAACTTATATTAGCCTATGATTTCTATTTAGTTTAATTCCAATTTCATGCTAACTTTTTACTTCATTCCAGAAAGGAGAGCCACCCTCCAGGAAGACCTGGACAGGCTGGAAGGGTGGGCTAACAAAAACCTTACAGAGTTCAGGATGGATAAATGTAAGGTGAAACACAATCCAGGAGTGCAGCTTAGATTGGAATCCACCTGGCTGTAGAGTAGCTCTGTGAAAAGGGACCTGGGGGTCCTGGTGGACAAGCAGCTCTATGAGTGAACAATGTGTTGCAGTGGCAAAGCCAACAAGGTGCTGGGTTGCATCAACAAAGGCATCACAAGCAAATACAAAGAAGTGATCATCATACTATACTCAGTGCTTGTCAGGACACACCTGGAACACCAAGTTCAGTTCTGGTCCATTCTATTAAAAAAAAAAAAAAAAAAAGCATACAGGCTGGAGAGGGTCCAGAGAAGGGCCACAAGGATTATCAAAGCACTGGAGGCATATGAGGAAAGGCTGAGGGAAGTGGGTTTGTTCAGCCTGGAGAAAAGACTTACGGGAGACCTTATTGCTATGTTCCAGTACTTAAAGAGTGGCTACCAGCAAGTACATCCTCTGTCATTACTGACAGTGCTAAGCAGACACCACATCATAGCATTACAATTTAAACATAAAGAGCATCTATTTCATAACTATTTTTCTATTTTTTATTGGGTATACATGAGCAAGTGTTACATCGTAAGAGTGACACTATAACCTCAGAACTTCACATAGACTTTTCTTTCAGTTATATTGCCACAAAGCTACATAGAGAACAGGTCCTTCTTTTTTAACATCCACTAATAGAAGAAAATACACAGGACATGTAAGAGCCATTGCCACCATTTCAGAAGATATTTTGTCAAGTCACTTTTTTTCATCATAATCCTTGAGGAAGTACCAAAGGATGTATGACCACATAAATAGAATTAAGCACACATTTAAAAACTTTCTAACAGAGATGGTCCTAGATTTGAATAAAACGTGCCCTATCTCTGAAAGCGTTTGGGTTCTTTTCAGAGTTGAACAATATTTAGATGGAGGCTAAAGCGTACTTTCATATTTCCACTTTTAATTAAATTATTTCCAACAAATAAGAAAAATATTTTCATTTCTGAAATATGCTGGTTGAAACAACTATGCATTAAATGTACGCTGGATCACTGCTTCACAGATGAGCCTGAAGCATTAAATCTAAAATGCCTAAAGCTTCAGCTGAAGACAAATTTCTTCTAAAATTATAGTGAGCTACATTATTCCAAACTATGCAGCAAGCATTTAAGCAACAACGTGACGGATGTGACAGGCCAGTCTGGGTGCACAGCTAATCAATATCGTGCTCGTGAACAGTCACTGCATAGTGGGGAGCCTGATGTGGAAATGGGATGCACTGGTGTTCAATATCCAGCCCCATAAGCAGTGCCCCCCACTGCAGCCAGATCCTCGCTACAAAGCCCAGCAACACACTACATCTCTGTAGAAAGATGCAAGGGCACCCGTTCTATGACACCTGTGGTTAAGAAACTATAGAAGACATTGGAAAGCTACTCCTTTGTGAGCTTAGAAAAGACTACTGCAGTTGTGATGTAATTACAATACTAACCATACAAAATTAAGTATTAAGGTTTTCAATAGGCTATGGCACAACACAAGCACACAACTTACATCAGTGTGCATTACTGGAATAAATTCCTTACTGCTTATATGACTGAACATGAAGGTCTTACATAATTGAGTAACCAATACTCAGAATCAATTAAGTTGTGTTTTATCAGGGAAAAGGAAAATGAATGAGGTTAAATTAATGCTGTCACTTTCTATAAACCAGCAATGGTTTCCCACTATAGAAGCCACTAATTATTTTACAACTGGAAATCAACACTTTAGCATATATTAAAAGTCTATTTTACTTAGAGTAATAAAAAGGCCTCCCCTACGGCTCATCTTGTGTGTCATATTATGCTTAGGTTTTAAAGATTCCAGCACAAGAACAGTACGCAAAAATCCTGCAAATCAAGTTGATTAACATTTTACATTTGTATGCAGTTTTGCTCTCCACTAACCAAGTACTACATAAATATTACTTTATTAAATTTCAAAGCAAGTGTGTTAGGTGGCATAATAAAATGTTTCCGTCTCCCATTCTTTATCTGGGCAATACAGCCCTTAAAACATTGTAAATTAATGCAGTAAACACACAGAGAGAAGGTTGGAAAGTAGGGAATTCCAGACTTGCAAAAGCTGTGCAGGACACAGAAATCTACATTCAAATTACAAGTATCTACATGAGGCTTGCAGGTATCTCTTCACCTTCAATCATAAGAATAGAGAAGTTAGGGATATTTTTTATTTTGTAGTACTAGGGTTCATAGTGACTTTTTGAAGGAACCCCATCTCATGAGGAGGCTGCTGGAGGGCAAACAGCTCATAAAACAAGTGAAAACTGAGATGGAGAAATACATTTTAAAAACTATGAACAATGAAAAAGCTAACAGATCTTTGTCTCTTTCTCCTTTCTAGCTCTGTATTGTAATTATTACAGCATTCCACTTTCTGGAACAATGTCTCCTCACCTGTCAATTGGCTTCTAGGTCCTCTTAAAACTCACTCCTTAATACTTGCTTCTCCCAGAAATCTTTCCAATAGTATTTTATTTTCTATTCATAAATGGTCACTATAATTATGATATAGCAATGTAACCATTTTGATAAATTATTATTATATTGTCAACTTCAGTAAGAAGTCAAGAAGACATATCCTCACCCTAGCTAATACTACTCTTTTCAATCACAGCAGCTAAAAGCACAAGCTATTGTAAATCAGCCTTAACTAACAAGAGACCCTAAAAATCTGGAGCTCCTAATGGCAATTAAGAGACTGAGTTTGCCATTAACCAGCCCATCAACTGTATTTAACTGTGCCACTACACTTCCGAATTGCTCTGTTTCAGTGATACAGTTTGCTGCATACAGCCTCCTGATTAAGGAATAGTTTGTGATATTCAAGGCAAAGATATGATGTTAGCCTTCATATTTGTTTAATTTGTCATTTCAGAGATTTTCATAGGTTCCTGAAGAGTAGGAACTTCCTCGATTCATTAGTTATCCCTTGTAAAAATCAAAGAAAGAACTGAATTATTTTCCAATTGCACATCATCATATTACACTGTATTTGTTAAAATACTGAACAGAGTTTCTCTTGGAACATTTCCCCCATTATAATTCCCCACATAATTCCTTACAAAGAGAAAAAGTGAGGCACAACGCATTGTAATATTACTCTAGAACTTACAGCCTTAACCAAATAAATGCTATAATCAGCCCTAGAATGTAGAACATCAGCAGGATTTTTTTCACTACAAACAGTCACAGAAATGTTGGTAACTTTTGACTTCCAGAAGAGAATATAATTAAGGTTTCCATGCAAAAAGTGGCATTTTGTGTCATATTTTTATACTTGTAGACACCTTCTTTTCAATAACAGATCTAGAAGCACATGCATTAACTTTCACTTGACCTCAGTATGATACACATGTGAATGTCAGATACTCAGATCCCTTTCAAGTATTACAGAAATCTTGTCAGGAATGTAAAAAAAAAAAAAATTGCTACAAAACTGCTTAAATATGCAAAGCTCATGTAACACAGGGCTGAATCCTATATACCATGGACAGCAGGTACCAACAGGGAAGAAGAATCTCACAGATTTGTGTATCTAGGATGGTCTGGAATGATTTTTGGTGAAGTAAGCCATAGGTAAACTACTAAGAAGATCATCTTTAAGATGCCTTTACAAAGAGCCCAACAAACCAGCTCCTAGCACTACAAACACTATGGAAAATGAACTACTTTTGTTTTCAGGCTGGTCATGTACTGAAAATAAATAGCCCCTTGGTTTTATTAAAATTCAATTAGAATAACAAATACTACCCTAACACTACTGGCACATCCTCAGTGTGTAATCTGTTGTCCTCTTGTTTATGAAGGGGGTGAGACTGAAGAACATGTATGTATTCTCAGTTGTCTCCAACAGCTTATATGTGCATGTCCAGAAATATGACCACTTTGAATATAATGAGGCTACAAAAGTTTTAAACTGTGTGAATATTTTGAACATGATCACTTGATAATTCTGTATTCTGATGGCCAGAAAACAGCAGGTAGAAAAGAGGGTGAGAATTACTCCTGCTTAAAAGCATGTCACTGCCATAACAGTATCACAACAGAATACAAGCTCAGAGCTCTACCTATGTATAAATATCACGTATGTTTTATGTCTCTCTCAAAGCCCTATGGACTTAGCAGGACTTTTCCTGTTCTTGGACAGGGCCCTACACCGTCCCATGTCACAGCCAAAGGAAATGCAGGATTCCCCACTGCCGGTGCCACAACTTACCAAACCCTTGTGTAATCAATCCTATTATAAAATCATTCTGAACACACTATGAGTTTACCTCAGTTATTGCTATTAATCAAGGCAGTGCAGCAGTGCCTTGATGAACCATGAGAGAAAAAGATCAAGTTACAAGTCTTAAGTCCACCTTCACTTCAAACATACTATTCTGGTGCACACAAAATGGGATCACAATTATGTCAGCAGTGGTCTTTTCGGTAACCACCTGGAGCAAGCAACACTTATGTTAAGTATCTAGAAAATCAGATGGGCCTGCCCATGGTGCTGGAACTCTTCTATAGCTGTCAAAATCACTTCCATTTAATAAGTGACCATAGAAAATCCAAATAAAGTGTAAAGAGTATCTTCCTGTTAAATGGCAAACACATTTAAAAATAACACCACAAAACGCATACAGGTCTTCCCCTTCCAAAAGAATTACTTTCCTATTTCTAAGTAATTGTACTAAATACAGTTATTTTATATTTGTAGAATACTAACATGTCGCTACATCAGTATTTATCTGACTTACCCGAACGATGGTGATGTTGCTCTTCTAGGAACTCCAGATCAAGCATCAGGTCATCTTCATCCAATTCACAGGAACCCAAGTTATTCAAAACATCCTAATACATATTAAAGAAAAAAAATAATTTAAAAAAATGAAGCATTTAGAGAGATGTGTTAACCAAACTATTCTGCACCAAATAATGAGCAATCAGATCTGGAAAGTATATTCAAGCAGGAGCTACAGAAATGTTTTCTAACATTAAACCAGTGAGAAAGCAACCCACACCAGGCAACTCACTTCCTTGTTCCCTGTTCCTACTCTCACCAAGGGCAACTTTGGAAAATGAGGTGGTGAGGTGAGGTGTTTTCTCTAGGCCCTAGCAACCTGAAGTTGCTATACTCAATGTATTAAAAAAAGACACTCATTCTTCTTTTTCTTCCCACGTATATTTTATTCTGTGGTCATTTCTTTTGACCTAATAATATCATTATTTTCTCTACAGTCACACAAAAAAAGCCAACCAACCAAACAAAAAACCAGAAGCACAGTTTCCTAAATTGAAGAAATTTCACTAGGTAAGATGTATCAAATGGAAACAGTTTGTATACAATTCTTCACATCCATATTACTGCCTTTAAGAGGTCTTTGTTTCCAGGAACCTTCACAGTAGATGCAAACCATGCTCCATGTATCCTCTCCATCCTACAAGGCTGATGTGCACCCTGCTCCTCACAGCAACATCTCTGCATGTCCATCAGAGCTGAACACTCCCAGCTGCCTTCCCAACACACCTGTGAACCCTCTGCCTTCCCTTTCCTACCGTCTCATAGACTGCACCAACAACAGCAGGTAAGCTACAGCGACAAAGAAAAGCTCTCCCAGGTTTATTCTTTTTGGAAGTATCTTCATCAGAGAAAAAGTCTCCTGCTTTCCCAAAAGTTTATTTGTTCTTTACAAAGGGACAAATCACAGAACTAGGAACAGACAAATCAAAGCAGCTCCTGCCCATTGTGGCAAGACTGAGGGCTTGGCAGGGAGAGCTGCTCTACCTGCCAGGGGTGCCAGGGATGTCAGTCCAGCTGCTTCCCTGCTCTCTTTGCCTACCTCTGCAGGTGGGGTCCTTCCACAGCTACAAACAGAAATGAATTCATGAATGCATAAAAGCACACCCAAGCAAACAAAGTTAATTAGGTTTCCAGGGCTGTCCTAACTGAGTAATATTTTCTGAAAACATATAATTAGAAAATACAGTAAAAGGGCTCTTGAAATGACCTGTCTAAAGGCATTGAACAGCTCAGAGATACTGCCGCAAGTGCACGCCAACATTCTCCACCCCTCTGCCTCTTTGCAGGATCTATATTACTCCTTTGTTGCTATGACAATAAGTAACAGTTGGAATTTCTTTTTAATATCTCTTGACCCTTTCCCCATTCTCCCTCTCACCATCACTGCTGCACTCTTTGAAGAATAACACAATTATATTTTCTTTCAAGTACATAAAAGAGAGATTAAGCCCTAAAGAGCATTCATAGTGAATAGTTTCAAGGCTTTACTACATGAAGACAAAGAAAGGAAAGCTTCCCTCAAGGTCCCTTGCAAACATCTGTTGTCTACTTACGGTGGCACACATTTATTTTAGGAGGCAAACCATTTAGTTAAGGCAGAAACTCTGCAGCAAAACCTCTTTCTTGACTCTATAATAATCCCTTAGAAGCCTTATGACATATTCCCTACTTCTGGTGTATGCTTGGTTTCTACCACCATTTTGCCTATATAATAGACCTGAAATTAACATGATGGTGCTTTTTCCTTCCAGTTCATCTGGAAGCTGGTCGTATTCTGTGAGAAGAACATGTGAGCAGTGTTACATCTTCCAGTTTATCCTGGTCAAGATAGGTTGTAGTCCCAGATTACCTACCACATTTTCCACCTTTGTCTTAGTGAAACACCACCATTATCTTAAGAAACTTCTATTTAAACAAGAGTTTAACAGTTATATTTTAAATGCTACTAATTCAGAATAAAAAGCAGTAATTTGTACAACAGTTTAGACTGCTTTTGATAACTGATAATAGCTGCAGCAGAACAGGATGCTAACCCAAGAATATTTCAAGGCATCAGTAACTTTTCACTAACATTTTTCGTATTTAAAATTCTTTCACCATCAACAAGAAGTATAAAGTGCTCATTTTCATTCAACAACTTGGTATGTTACTCAAATTACATTGAACTCAATGGTACTTAATTTAGCTGAGACTGGGCCCAGGCATTAACATTCTTAAGAGATATGATCTAAGAATAATTTTATTATCAAAAGATACACAGTGATTCACATGGGTATATGTAATAAACAGTTGAAACGTTAAGGGGATAGAGATGAATTATACATTTAGTTCCAGCCAGCCAGCGTGCATCTGGATAGTAAGTTTACTCAGAGTTTCTGAAGGGGCATCCTTCCTACTTTAATTCCCTTCCTACCTCCATTTTTCTCTCTTCCCAGCTTCTCTTTCTATAATAACTCAAAGGAAATCCATTGCATAAAACATACATTTTCAATCCTTTTCCAGAACAGTCAAGTATTTAATTATTATTACACCTGTTCCAGCTCAGAGTCTGCAACACTTAAAATGAGTTTGAAAGCTGGAAACAGCTTTAGTAGTAAATACATATAAAGTGCCTAATATAGCAAGTCTCAAATCTACTATTAGGCATAATCAAACAACAAAAAGCAAATAACATTTCTTTATGAAGCTCTCTTCACTACGTGGGTTTTTTTAAAATTATTATTCCAAATAACTAACTTACCTAGTGAAATTAGTGCTCATGGAATTATAGTATAGTCCTCTAAAGACTGACTACTCTGGTATTCAAAAATGACAATAAAATATACAAATCAATATACAAATACACTAAAGCATACTCTTTTGTTAAGCAATACAATACAAGTCCAAAATGGACCAAGCAGAATCATATCAAGTACACAATATATATAAACAAAGCAGGGTAAATCCATGTAGAACTGAATATTTAGAACAAATATGCAAAACCAAGTTTAATAACTTGGTTTAGGTGCAAATCTGCCTATTTGAAATGGCCCACAATCAATAGCACCAATCAAAAGATTCATTTGCTGATGCTTTCACACATTTTTATTCTAGACTTGTTGCTCCCATAGCATTGAAATAATGAAGTGACAGCAAGGTCCTAAAGGAAGCAAACACAGGTTCTCTGTCATTGCCAGCATCTTTTGAGAGCTATAAACATCATTTTGGGTTTTGGGTTTTTTTCTAATTAACATGTAGTCACTGGTCAATATGGTGTACAGTTAGTGTCTTTTTCATTTTCTATGTTGGTATCTTGAGGGAGATTCAGCCCTGAAAAACTTTTTCTCCCAAGCAAGGGGTCGCAGATTTCTTTTTTTTTCTGACTAGTGTTTTTGTGTAACCATACACAGGTTGCCAGCTGGGGGCTGGCATTTCCCAGTGTTTTTCAAGGTTCTTCTACACATGTGACTGAGGTTTCCATTTCATTACAGCACAGTGATACTGCAACAAGATCTTGACTACAGCTTGGAGATTGTTCAAGACGTTTGAGAACTTGAGTTCAAGTAAGCAACTTAATGAAGCTACAAAACCAAAACACTAACATGTTTGCAATTACTTAGTTTATGAACTTCTCTGTCAAGATACATACATGGCTGTATTCACAGAACTATTCAGGCTTATACATGCATTGATACAACCTTACTATCATGAACTCGATTATACTGTTTCAAGCTTTAATGTTTGTTTTGATCAAGCTTTGCACCTGTGCTCAGCTAACACACTCCTTTTGCTGGAACGCATTCTGTCACTGCTTCCTCTGATGGGTGACCATGCAACGTACTTGCTGATACTGCAATTAAAACTGAGCAGATGAATTTTGGTCACAGGCACCCCTCTTTGAAATGCTGTTCTTCTATATCTGTTGTATACAGATGCATTTCTCCTCAAGAATCTGTAATCCTACTTCACCCCATCTTTAGACTGTATGAGGAAAGCCAGATTATGCAGGGGAATAATATTTTAGCATCTTTTTCCCCTGACATAATAGCCTGTGTCTCCTTTGCGTAAGTGATTATGCAGCAATCACTAGATTTTCAAAGATACTTTTAGAACTACAAGAACAAAACTTTGAAAACTTATTTTTAAAAAGAAATGCTGTAGGTTTTCTTTTGTTTTCCTTTCTCCTCACGTTGGCCTCTAGACATCTTTCTGATGATTTTCTGTGTTTTTGTTCTTAAATATATTCTGAACACAGATTTTCACATCTTATTGGATTTCTTTTTCCAAAATATAACAATTTAGTGTTCATGCCTCCCCACTGGAATCATGTACCAAATGTGGTTTAGAAAATTTCAGCTTAGTACTGCATGTATAATAGTACATTAGTAAGCAATATTATAGATTACTTTTTACCTGCACAGTAGAAATATATACGGGAGGCTATCTGAGATCAATGCTTTTGCAAAGCACATAGAAAACACACTTGAGGGAGAGTAATTCGATTCTTTTGTAAAGTCTTATGTACAACTATTCACCTGTATCTACTCAGGGTCACTGCATATCTGATGCTGGGAAAGATCAGAATTAAATACTTATTTCAAGTCTGAAATTATTTCCAGAGATTGTCAAAAGATAGTACTTCATCAGAATTCTATTCAGCAGAGGAACATGGCATACAATCAGCATAAGAATGAAAACTGAGATACACTCAAGGGAAAAAGAAAGACCTCGAGCTATTTAAAGTAATGCTAACCCCCAGAACCATACCTGAATAATTCATGGACATAATGAAGTATTTCCCCTTCTGCACTCTCCCACACACTTCAAAGGGAAAATGAAAGTACACAAAACCCAGCAAACAGAAAAACCTTTAAAAAACACAGAATCCTTGCCAGCAGCCTAAAAATCTCTATCAAATGCAAAGCTTATGTATGCCTTCCACATACCAAGAGCAGCTTAAAAGCATTCTTTTTTTCCTGAATATCACCATGCTAAAAGCATATTATTCCCTACTCGAATAAACTAAAGACTTTAGAAAGGGAAAAAGAAATCTTGTAACGTTTGGTAAGAA